AACTCCGAGACTTGAAAGACTATCTATTTTTACGTGATTGTTGTAATTTTCTATTTTATCTTGTGTGTCGTAATATTTAAATTTTCATTTTGCGTGTTGTAATTTCTAATTGTATCATGTGTGTTGTAATTTTTAATTTTTCATCTTGTGTCTTGTAATATTTAATTTATTTTTGTGGCGAAATTTCAATTTTTAATGAATATTTATTTCTCCCATTTTATTATGCATAATTAATTTTAATTACATAAAGTCCAAATTGAATTTAAAATAATAGTGTGGTTTAATTTGTAAAGCTGTAAAATAAGTGGGTAGTATTGAAAAGTTATAAAAGTTGGTATAAAAGAGAATATTCTGGGAATATTCTTTTGGGTTTGAGAATGAGTTTTTCGGTTGGAGATGAATTACTGCAAAATGGGATAGTTACTGCAAAATGGGTTTGAGTTTGGGTTTTTCGATTGGAGATGGCCTTATGTTTTTTTTATAATAAAATGATTGGTTTAAATATTTGTTAAGTTTAAATTGATTCTTTTAATTATATTCTTATAGTTATATTATAAATATAAAAAAAAAGTAGTTAGACATAATAATAAATATTAGAAATGTATAATACCCTATAAATACCATTTTTAATTCATTTATAATCATTATATGCAATAGGTAAATGTACTTTGTCAATTAGTTTTTAAAAATTTCATATACTAAACTTATATTTATATTACATTTTCTGATGTGATATCTAATTACTTGGCATTATTAAACTTGTTGAGCTAAATTGAAAACAAAATTTGAATAAAATTTAAATAAATGCACCAAATCATTGTATTTTTCTTACTTATATGGTGGCAATTTAAATGACTCAATATGTGTATAATAACATATTTAACTAAATTATATTTGAGATGAAATTATTTTAAAAGAATGAATATGATACCAGATTTTTACAAATCTAGGAGGGTTTATCCAATTGAAATTTTTAAGTAATTTTTAATAGATTCAAATGAAACTTTTTTTTTTTTTTCAATTAAGAATTGTAGAAACTTTTTATAAATCATCAAATGTCTCAATATATTCAATTATTTTGTAAGACTCTTTACAGTCGCTCGCTATTCAAAGTAAGACTATGAAACTTTGTTAATTCTAAGACTTTTAGAGACCTTTTTCATAAATTTATCCTATCCTGGATTTGTGTCCTATTATGATTGCGATATTTGATTTGCTTCAAGCACAAATTTTCACGAGACACTAACGAGGTCAAGATACCTTGTAGAGTGTTCAAGCAAATCCTTGTGTGTTTTGGAAATTCTATTCAACATATAATTTTTTTTTTCCTCCTCATAGTCGAAGAACTTTGGTCATAAACGCTTGTATAATATCTCACAATTGAGGCATTTTCCGCTTTGGAATATTTTAGCCCCCTCGAAGAAATAATACATTTTGTTGTTAGCTTTTGACAAGAAAAGAAGATATTCAAGAAGAAGAGTGACGTAGAAACAAGAAGAATGAGTAATGGGTATAATGGTATAGAATGAAGCATGTTTTGTAAATAGAGAAAAGTTTGTCTACCAAAATAATTCACACTTGTAAGTCATAGTCACATGGCCATGTCCCAAAATAACACACTTGTCATTGTCTTTATCGAATTTATTTACGCGTGACCTTATTCGAAAAGAATCCAATGGATAGATGCACCATTAACCGTTGTCTGAAAATAATGCAAAGAAATAATGCTACACATATCCTTGTTCAAAAATAATACACTTGTCATTGTTTTGGTCAAATTTATTCATTTCATGGTCATGTCCGAAAAGAATCCAATAGATCAGAACTATTTGTCGTTATCCAAAAAAAATACAAATAAATAATAGTTCACATGGCCTTGTTCGAAGATAGTGCACTGGCCACAAAGAAATACGATTTATGGGCCCTTATTGGTGTCGTCAAGGAGTTGAAGGAACGAGCAAGTGCTGAAGAACCTGCTCCGGCGTACTTTTTGACAAATAATTTGGGAAAAAGGGTAGTTTTGTGATGATAAAATCTTGATTCTTTTTGTTTTTCCAGATCTTGTTATTGTTTTGATGTAGAACTGTGTTTTTGGGGAATTATAGTCTCGGTTAATAAACACGGCGTCAATTATCAATCTCTTGTATTCGGTTAAATTCATATAATGCTGGTGACAAATACAATTCCAGTCATTTTCTGTTCACTTATTTGCAGATGAATGTTTAGCTGCATACAGATTTATATTTTTCAAAGTATAACTTGCCAAATAATCATTTGTGTAAATCATAAAACATAGATAGGCAGCATTTTACACTAATGACATGCATTTTCGTATTAAAACCTCTAAAGTGTGATTCATCACCAAGAATACTGCTGTGAATTATGAATGCAGCTATCTGCAGTTTTTGCCAGTAGGAACAAACACAAGTGAATTGTGAATTCAACTCAAAATCTCCATTAAAACGACAAAATATAATATACGTGTGCGAGTTTTGGTATGCGCAGATTCTATGTGAGAATATTCTTATCCTTTATATTATCCTTTGACAGTAACAAAAAAGTTCTGATAGTAACTTTGCCCCCCAAAAAAAGTAAAAAGAAAAAATACAAAAAAAAAAAACCGGTAAAGAGCAATCTTTATACCTACCCTAAAAACCCCCGACGTGCAGGCACACATCTCTGTATATTCACCTAACAAACACAAAACTTGTGTGCCCCCTCGAATTCTTAACTCCGAAAAAGAAGAATCGTGAGCCCTTAATCGTTTGGGTCCATTTCCTCATCTTGCTCGCCAGGTGGCACTGTATCGACCTGGCTATTATCGTCTGGTTCAAGCAAATCCGCATCACTTTCATCATCTTCTTGTGTTGTTTCGTTACCATCACCAGAGCTCTCTTGCGATGATAAAATGCTCGTTAAGCTTTTTTGTTCAAACCCTATAGGGCATTTGTCTTGTCCTCTGTACAGAGTTTGGAGTTTGGTGTCCTCTCGAAAATCAGCACTCTTTACAGTCGTGCATGAGCATTCGGGTAATGGGTGGGAGAGGAAAGATTTCGGCTTGGAGCTTTGGGATTCTCGGAGAATTCCATCTACTGATATGCTTTTGTTGAGGTGTTCTCTTACAGTAAGGGTCCAGTTGCGTGGCGGGTGATAGAGATGATCGCTTGTAGTATTGATTAGCCTGGTGAGATATTTCCTGCAAAAAAGACAAACGACACATAAAAATTATCGAGGGGGGAAAGAAGTTCTATCGAGGATAATAGTGACCCCACTTATAAAAAACTCGCCACTGATAAATGATAACTCCAGAAGTTGAACATTCACTCCTCAAATATTTCAAATAGCAGTCAAATAACTTATTTAACACTTTTGTCATATAAGCTAACTTTTCAGCTATAAACTCAAAATTCACTTAAAAGCTATCATCAGCTAGGTTATCTGCTATAGCTAGCTTATTAGTTAGGTTAACCAAACGTAGTCATAAACTTCTTCGGCTAACTTTTCAAATAAGTTCATTGAAATTATTATTTCATTTAGCTTATCAACTAATTTTTACCAAACACTTTTGTCGTATAAGCTAGGTTTTCAGCTATAAGTCATAACGTATAAATTATAAGCTCGAAAATCACTATGTTTGGTTAGCTATAAGTCATATAAGCTAGCTTATTTGGTTAGCTTATAAGTTCCTTGTATTCAAATAAGCTTTGTTTGACAGGACGATTTTTTTTTTAAAAACTCAGAGCTTAAAGCAAGCTTCTTTGGATAACTTTTTAAAAAAACTCGTTGAAATTTTTATTTCAGCTAGCTTATCAGCTAATTTTTCTAAACACTTTTATCATATAAGCTAGCTTTTCAGCCATAAGTCATGAGCTACAAGTTATAAGCTCAAAAATCACTTATAAGCTATAAGCTAACTTATCAGCTATGATACCAAAAACAACCATAATCTATAAGTTGGTTTATCAGCTATTAGCTTAAAAGGTAGCTTATCAGCTAGATTTACCAAACCTAGACACATAATTAGAAATCCTCAAATGGAAACTCGATAATTTTACCTGTCCGGTCTATATGTTCTACTCGAGGCCATCTTGTAGAGCCGATGCCCCTTCACCAGACCAGAAAAATCCGGCCATCCACTACCATCATTATCAAAACCGGGAAAAAAAGCATCGGCCTCCACAGAAACAATATAATCGAGTGCATCCCAAAGCAAACGATGAGCCTTGTCCCTTAGATCATTCAGCGTAGGGTCCGGTTCGGATTCTTTTTCCGCAATCCACCCGTACCAACCTTCCTTTTCATGTCGATAAATAGGTCGATCGGGAGGTGGAGGAAGGGGCCTAGGACGAGGGCCCGCTTTGTCCCATTCCTCTTTAAGTTGTTTGGCACTCTTTGTAGGTGGAAATTCAAAGGTATCCATGGGGAGCTCGGTTTCTGGGCCGACGATGTGGGCCAGGTCCAGTTTACTGCACAAGTTCGTACGATCCACTGAGTTGGTGTACATGGCCCGTAATGGGATAAGAACACGTTGGCCGCCAAAGGTTTCAGAGCCCGCCAAGTATATTCTTGTTCTCGGAGGGTAACCCATAGCTCGAAGGAGTAGCCCAACCTGCAGTTTTGATTGGGTGAAAAAGGAACCACGGTGAATACAAGTTAAGTGAATTATTAGCTATAGTAGTATTTTTAACGTTAAATACCACTTGAAGTTATTTGGGCTCTTTTACATAGAAAAAATTTAGTTACATCGTGGGAAAAGGTTAAATAGCGCCGAGTAGCAAGGTTAAACAAAATATGGGGCCATAAGTAAGGAGCACATTTCAGATTTCAGATATTATAGACAAAAAAATTTGAGGTAGAAAGCATGAAGGATAACCAATAGATTATACCTCTTCTGATTTGACTAAACATAACATTTAACAACAAAACCGAACATTCAAGGTGACTAACATAAAAAATGATCATACCTCTTCTGGCATTAGTGGGCACGAACCTTTTCCTTTTCGGGTGTATGAATCCACACTCAACTCATCTTTTACAAGTCCTTGTTTGATCATCTGTGCTCGGCGATACTGTATGAGTTCCGTGTGTACATCCTATTCAAACAGGATTAAGTATAAGAAGTTAGCGTATAAAAGAATAGTAACAAAAATCACTATTTAGATGTATTATTCACCTGAAAAAGTTCAGCACAACCATGATATGCTAGAGTATCCCTCTTTAACCCTGGATGGTAAGCAAGATATGGTTGACCAGAACCTCGTAATCTGTAAGGTCAAATAAAATATCAATACAGAAAAGTAAAAAATAACTTAGCTGTTTTCGATCTGTTTTAGAAAAAATTCTCTCAAAAACTTTTAAAATTTATTTCTCAACATGCAAAGTGTTCACAAATTATGCAACAACACAAGGTATGGTCTTTAGAATTTGTCAAAACGTGATGGGTGGAAAAGCGCACACGGAGAATAAATATAACTTTCAGAACGGACTCAAAATCCACCAAAATAACTGTGATAAAAGAAAATTCCAGGAGCAATCAGAGCTCACTCACTTTTCTATCATCTGATGTGCAAGTTCGACAATCTCTGAACGGAAATGCAGTGCTTGAAATGCAACTCGGCACCTAAGCCTCTGGTACTCAACCAAGCTTGAAGGAAGGTTGGACTGGATCAAAAAATACAAAAGAATTATCTTCAAAGTTGGTTTTATGCTCGACTTATAAAGGTCTCTAAGTTGATATAGAACAACCAAGGTTGTTTGAAAAACATCAGTCACTAAAACATGTGAAAGATTCCTAAAAAGTTATGGACTGGTATGCATTATTAAAACGCAATAATTTGGTTCAATGATTGAGGATTTTCGAGCTTCAATGACCCCTAAAATGACTCAAGGATCAATTTTCACTCAAGATTGGCTTCGTCATAGTCAAAGTCATGGTTCGGGTCCGAGATCTTCTTTAGAGGAGTATTTGGAATTTCTTGAGAAGATTAAACAAGGTGATAAAAAATCAACTGTTTTGGTTCCGATAAAAAAAATCAAATTTTAGTTCAATTATAAATTCGAAATATATTGAAAAGATTAATTATTTATTGCGATTAACACTGAACCGCACCGACCGCTAGATTTTCGGTTAAAAACCGAACCAACCCATAAATTTCGGTTTGGATTTCCGTTCTTATAATGGATAAACCAAATTTTCGGGTTCGGTTTGGTTTCGACTGGATGAGAGTGGTACAAAGAACTATTTCTACCTGTAAGCATCCGCCTTCTGCAAGTACCAACCCAATGACCTTAGAAGTTTTAAGTTTCGGTAGAATTTCATGTAAGTAATATTTAGGGGAAGAAGAACTTTTAGGCTTGAAAATTGGATAAAGTTTCCGTTTTCTGCCCTCCTTCAAGCTCGAAGGTAGGCTCTTCAAAATGATCACATCAGTTGCTAATGCATTTATAAACTTATCCTCATCATATAGATATGAAAAGCTCTTGAAGTTGGAGCTGCAAAAAATCAAAGTGTTCAACGCAATTTAGTATTATCTTAGAAATGCCGATGGATTGTAACATGCCTTAGACAACCAAACAAAAATGAAAAAACCTGATGCCTTTTGATTGAGTGCTTTCTTGAATCTCAGGTATAACAAGGGTGGCATTTAGAAGCCTTGAAACTACAACAAGATCGCAGATCTAGCAATATTGTAATACAGTTAGAAACTTGATGAGCTGTAAGAAAGTGGGGAAATTCAGGACAAAAATTAAAAGAAAATAATAATACCGAGGTCCTAATCTTCTCAAAGCCACCATGAATTTTCGCATAAATGAAACCATTTCCCTGCTCGTTCGGAACTGCATTCAGGAGGCAGATGCCAAACAGAGAGATCATTTCAGTAAAAAGGCAAGTCCCCCCTTCCACATAATATTTCAAGTAGAGAAAACTAATATATTGATGAGTTTCTCTGGTATATCCGTAGTTACAAAATTCAAGATGCCAATGTTTATTGAGTGGAAGCTCGATCAAATTCTTAAATGCTGCTGGGTCAAGATCTCACTAGACAGAATTTAATTCAATCTTGACAGAATGAAAATTCAGCTTTTGTAAGTACCAAGTAAAAAATTACTGGTAATCTTCAAATGTCGAAAGTGAACCTTCAACAACATTGCAGGATAATCTTGCATTGAATAGAGCAAAATAAAAACCATGCAAAAAAAAAATAAAAAATAAAAAATTGAGGCCCAAGAAATGAAAAAAACAGAAAGCACATCTTTACAATAGCATATTCATGTTAATAAATTAAACTGTGTATACAGATACTGTTGCAATTAATCTCAACAAATTTAAATCAGATAAAAAAGATGTACATATTTTTGCCTACAGATGAGGCTTTTGCTTTTTGGGTAGTATTTAGCAACAATATTATATATGCATGATTCATCCATGTAACACGAATTTAGCATCACTGACAACATGAAATCCAATATGGGTGAAACCAAATGTTCAATATACAAACATGTAAACAGAACACACATAGAATTTGCTTATGGATGCCACACCCCAACAAACTCAAGCAAATCTTATTCATAATAAGACCAATTAGCATCAATCCACAACTAGGAAAAATCCCGAATCTCAATAGCAATAAATCATACATATTACCAGGATAAGGGACACTTCTCGGATTTGCATACGGCTGCAATGGCTCCAAGCTGTTCACCTTCCCCCACAATCTCCTATATCCAACACCCTTCACCACCACCCACCAACAAATTGTCCAAACATTAACAAAGATATAAAAGAATCTCATTAAACCAAACAACTGTATCATCTCAAGCATGCAAACTAAAGAGCTGCCCGCTACCTTTTTGCCGGGATTTTCAACGGGATTCAGATCCTCAGTGAAAGCTGTGGCTACACCGTACTGTGCATATCTGGTGCTCGACTTAGCCAGGAACAAATGCACCATTATCGATGCAAATGACAGCACAAGCCCGCCAAGTGCTGCCCATTTCAACTTCGATTTCATTCTTATCCTTTCAGACCACACCATTATCCGTACTCCCCTTACCCTACAAACCTACAACAACAATGCATATTGAATAAGCCCACAAGAACAGAATTAAACACCAACCCAGAAAAAAATGATAATCAAATATGACCCACGATAGAGACAAACCCATATATAGTGGACCAAAATTAACCCATAACAGCAATCAAAAAACAATTAAAGATACTTACCGAGAGAAGGGGCTAACGTCGAACAAGAGCATGGGCAAAAAAAAAGCCTTGAAATCAAATAAACCCCTTTTTGACGCAACGCGCAGAGAGCTTATCGATCAGCAGATCGCGAGTTGAGAAGCTAATTCAGCAGTGAGAGCTAGCGGGATCCATTTACAATGCTGTCACCACCATTGCAGATTTAACCAGAACACTAAACAAATAATTAAAAATATCTGGGCTCCGTTGAACTCACGAAACCCCACTTTTTGTTCCCCTCAATTTTTTCGAAAAATTTGATTCGATCGAGGTACAACAATTGTGTTTCGAGAATCTCAGTGGTGAAAAATATGGGCTATCGAAAACCCAAAATGTTATGTATACAAACAAACAGCTGTTCAAAAAAGATCGCAACTTTGACAGTGATTTGTGCAGAGTGAGAATGGAAATTGTACTTACAGGGTTTAGAAAGATTTTCGTGAATACAATATATACACTTTTTTAATGTTTTCACGATTTGGTTCTAAAGGGGAAACGCGGAGCCGACAACTTCCGATGGGTCGCTTTTTCTTGTTATTTTTCTCTTTTGTTTTTTTGTTTCTTCCTCGGCATACCCTCGGGCCTTTGGACACAAAGTTGAGAACAAAGAGCAATTTCTGAAATTGTTGATGAGTAAATTTGGGCTATGTTTGTAAAAGAAATTACTCAATAAAAATTAATTCATACTCAAAATTTAAATTAATTTTAGATCTACTTCATTATCATCCGATATAATTAAATAATAACATTTCATCATTTTTACATATAATATCAGTTTTAATTCATTATTCGTCTAGTCACATAATTTTAACTAATCACCACTTCAAATCAAATCAACTTTAATTGTTTTATTTTAAATATTATTCTAAATAAGCTCAAAATCCACTAACTACTCACTAAATAATAATAACTCATCATTTTTACACATCATATCAATTTTAATTCACTATTCGTCCACTCACATAATTTTAACTAAAGATCACTTCAAATCAAATCAATTTTAGTTATGTTATTTTAACTATTATTTTAATATAAGCTCAAAATCCACTAACAACTAACTATATGACTTTTTTAAATTAATTTTAGTTAACTAAAAAAACTCACTTTGAGTTAATTAGAGTGAATTATTCTTTCAGAAACACAGCCCCGGGAATTCAAGACTCGACTACAAATGTAAACGAGACGAGCTGAGTTGAGCTCGACCCATGGTATTTGAGCTCACGTTCAAGCCTTTCATGAATCGAACTTGTTAACTACCAAGTCAGTAATCGAACTTGAGTTCGACTCGTTTATCGATATTAATGAGATGAGCTCAAGACTTAATGAGTCGAACTACAAAAATATATATAAAAAAATCATGTTTTGAAATATTAATAAGCCGAGTCGAGTCCAACTCATCTTAACACTAAGAGGAATTTTAAATTGTTAATTTTTTTTATATGGGCTACAAATTAAAAATATTTTCTTTCGATTATGAATCTAAATAAATTATATATTGAATTAAAATAAGGGTATAATAAATGTTTTGCATGTACAATGCGTACGAGTCAGTTGTAATATTTTTGTCTCGTATTAAATTCAGGGTTGGGATTGACTTTTTAATCAATCTAACGACAAGATATGTACGAAAGGTATCTGGCCCTAGAAAGTCACTTGGGATTGGTTTTGTTGATGAATTTCATTGGCGGAAGGCCGAGAAAAATATATCTTTCTTGTTATTTCACACACAAACCTACACATAGCTCTGTTGCGAATATAACTTTTGTTGGAGCGACGTTTCGGGTCGGTTTTTTAGGAGGGGTTCGTATGATTTTTATAAGAAATGTTGGTTTTTTATCGATTTTACAGTTCCATTATTCGTGAATAAAAGACTTTGAAATATATATACATCAAACCATTCTAGGTTGAATGAGAAATAAATTTTAAGTAGACTGACCACGGGCCGAATCGACCCGTCGATTGAGCTCGTAATCAGCTCGTTGACCACGGGCTTTGAACCGGCCCGTAATCTTACCCTGGCTAATTTCGATTCAAGCATTACAAATTTTGAACCGACGGTTCTGCTTTTTTTAATAATATTATTGTTTTTATTTATTTATTTTATAAACTGAACTTGCACGGAACTGATGGTTCATGAACCGACCCGTATATGTTTTTGAGCCGGTTCAGGGCCCCTCAAAAGGCCAACCTAAAAATGGCCCCGAACCAGGTTTTGGCCCGGTCAAATTCTAAGTTTCATATGTGGAATAATTGATTTTAATGTAACTCAAAGATTATAGGATTCGTAAACATATTGTCTTGGACGAATGTTTGGACAAATCAAATGAGTTGTAATCATAAATTATTTATGTTATAACTATAGAGGGATTAGTTTGTGATGAGTATGAAAAAACGAAACACGATTTCGAGTCTGAACGAACGCGTACGTGCTCTCAGCGAGACGACACAACCTCAATAGGGTGCAACACTCATCATGGCACGACATGGGATCGCACCTTTTGGCTACCAAGAGCTTTCGGTTGACTATTTGCATCCGTTTTTGTCAAGCCTCCCTCGTAAATGTGTTTTGACCCTTAAACCTCCTGGAGGTGTGATTCACATGTTTAAAGATCCCACATGCTTGAATCATTCAACGAAAACTTAAAAAAATAATAGCTCTTGTATTATTTTTCAAAGATAAATAACATAATGAAATAAGCTCGTGGCCGGAAGGGGTAAGAAGGTGGCCGCGTTGATTGGTGCTTTGAGTTTTTCGTTGAGTCTTTATAATTCCAAATAATAGTATTGTTTACCGAATGTTTGTATATTTGAAGCACCGCTATGTACAATCAAAAGTCATTGTATCGTGGATGTATTTGCCATTAACCGTCACTATTTTACGAGTTAGTTTTGTCTTTACTAGAACATAACCATTACGTGTTTCGACTTCATTTTACTTTTATTTTTCCTTATTATCCTTGAGACATCTTTTTGAAAAACAACACAAACAATAATTTTTCTTTTTAGTAAAAGATTGTATTGTTCCAAACCCCTTTATCTTCAGAAACTGCGATAAGTTGCATTGTCTCTCAAGGTCCGTTTGCTTTATGGGATGAGAGTGTATTAAATTAGTATGAAGTGAAAGAATTGTATTGTGCGAATATATTTAAACATGCATTTGTTATACAATAATATATATATATATATATATATATATCCTTCATTAAAACATGCATTTGTTATACAATAAAATATATATATATATATATATATCCTTCATTAAGGAAAAAAAAAATATGGGGCATGGTGCACAAGTAATATTTTCAAATAACACGCCAAGAAAAATGAATTGGACCATGACTCCATATACCCTTTGCTAAGTCATAAAAAATGTGGGCCTCGATATTCTCTAGCCTGCCCCATAAATGGGCCATAGTCTCACATCACACTATTGAATTTGGGCATGGGCTCCATCGATAAAAATCTAGTAACTTGCTTTTTTTTTTTCCAAAAACGATAGATCAATATATATCATCAAATGTACAATAATACAAACCGGGATCTAACTAGACCCAATAAAAGAGAGACACCTCCAAGAGAGTGCTCTAGAAATAAGACCACAAGGAATCTAAAACAAAGACAAGAACTTAAAGTACATGTTAAGGCCAAATGAATCATTGTAATCCTTAACATCACTATAAGCACTCCAGACCAAACACACTAACACAGCAAACCACTACTACAACCCCAACATTACACAACAATAAGAAGGAACATAAACAAACTGAGCAAAGATCCCAAGCAAGCAGACAACATCCAACAATGAAGCAGAAGCACCCACTGAAACACAAGTAACCTAGGCCCACCTCTCTTCAAACCAGATAGCAGCCAGCTAGCTCTTTTTCCTTGCAGCAAACTCCTGCCAGTCCTACATTGCTAGTTTTGCTATACAATGTGGTGGCAGCCACTCCTTTTTGAACAGCCATAAAATTTTTGGCCTTCCAAAGCCACCACAGAATATATGTGGTAAGCTCAATCCTAGCTTCAGAAACCGCCAACTTATTGATAGAACACACATCCATCACCAAGTTCTAAATTTTGTGTGATCTTCAATGACAATGTCCCAGTGAATAGAAGAGAATTTCCATACCTCTTTGGCTTTCTTGCAGTTGAAGAAGATGTGTTCCACAGATTCAGTGTCCTCCCCACGTGATTGACAGATAGCATCCACAAACAGACCTTTTTTTCTAAGAGCAACTTTGACAGGTAGAGCCTCAGAAAAACATTTCCAAAGGAAATGTTTCAACTTGCCTTTGACATTTAATTTCCAAGTTCTGCTTCTCACTTTTCTTATTATTCTTGCAGAAGAGCTGCCTGATCAAAGTGACATTCCAATGCCTCCCACCCTCTTCCATAAGTTCACTAACCCATTGAATGTTAGCAGCAGAGCTCTCATCACTGTGAGGCCTTGTCAGATTGGTAGAACATGCCCAAGGGTCCTTCCAAATGTGAGTTGACAACCCATCTCCAATTTTCATCTGAAAGCAGTGCTTATACCTTTCCTTAACTGACATCCAAGTGGACCATAACCAAGACGAGTTGTGTTTGACTGAAACATGAAAAATGTTCTCATTGGGGAAGTATTTACCTTTCAACAACTTGCTCATCAAAAGGTTAGGAGATGTAGCAACTCTCCATAGTTGTTTGAGAATCAATGCATCATTGAAGAGCTGCAGATCATGAAAACCAAGGCCACCAAGGAGTTTATGGAGTGTGACAAGAGACCACTTA